TGTCTAGGGCTTAGTTCCCGCAATCTAAGCGCTAGGACAAAGCCTCCGACAACTCGGAGCATAAGAAACGCCGGTACCGGCGCAATACTCCGCATCAGTCCCTCCGCTGCATCCCAACATGGGTATTCTTTTCCTGGCCATGAGTGAAACCATGCTTTTGGCTGTTATGAAGAAATATCAATTGTATCCGGTATGGTACTTGCACTGTACCGTATTCCATTCCACGATCCGTATCATAAAAGGGGAGTCAACTCTTGGCGCGGAGGCACAACTATCCGCACCCGGATGCAGAGCAAGGTGACGTAGTGGCTAGAACCTTCAGCCACACGGCCGCGAAAAAATCGGATGACGTACGACATCACCACACCACTCCCCGCACACCCCCGCGGTGCAAGGAGAGAAGGCAACACAAGCCAGGGCGAAAGGCTTGCCACAGGATTGGTGGGATACGGTAAGGGGGCGAGGGTAACCTAGAAGTATAAATGTGGAGAGGGATCCGTCCGTCCATAGAATTACCCCTCACAGCTAATCATTTTCACCATCGCCACAGTCAAACAAAATCTCCCACTTCTTGTTACATTTTCCCAACCAACGCCGCCAAGGAAAAAAATGTCATCGACAACGGTCCACGTCTCCAACATCTCGCACGAGACCTCCCAGCAGGAGGTCCGGGATTTCTTCTCCTTCTGCGGCAAAATCACGAACCTAGCCCTCACGCCCAGCAGCTCGGACCCCAACGCTACCCTCTCGGCAACCGTTACCTACGAGCGTGAACCCGCGGCTAAAACCGCCCTACTCCTCGACGGCACAAAGCTCGGCAGCAACCCGGTACACGTGGAAGCCTCGCACTCCATCGACGAGCTCGCCCAGGGCCATCTTGCCCGTGGTGACCCCGACCAGGATGGCGCCAAGGGCAGCGTGCAGCAGGAGGACAAGCCCAAAACCGCCATTCTGGCGGAGTACCTCAGTCACGGATACGTCATTGGCGATTCCGCCCTGCAGAAGGGAATCGAGGTGGACTCCAAGCACGGCATTTCGAGCCGTTTCCTGAGCACGCTGAATTCGGCATTGCAGGCCGTTGACTCGCGCGTCCATGCTACCAATACCGCCAAGTCGGTCGACAACCAGTACCATGTTTCCGACCGCGCGGTAGAGGCCAAGAATACTCTCACAACCTACTTTGAAAGAGCGCTCGAAACCCCAACGGGTCAAAAGATCCGGAGCTTTTACGAGCAGGGCGGGAAGAGCTTGCTCGATATCCACAACGAAGCGAAGAGGTTGGCGGAATTGAGGAAGCAGCAGAATAGAAGGAGCGCGGATGGAGGACCGCTCGTTGGGCCCGAGAAGACTACCTGTGCCTGCGGCGGTGATGCGGGCATCTGTAGCTGCGAGCCCGGAAAGTGCGCTTGTGTTGGGTGTCATATGGGAAAGGAAGAGGCGAAGGGTGATCCGGCCCAGCACCAATTCGGGGAGGCCGCCGGGAGCAAGGAGAAGAGCGCGTAGGCTCAAGCTCTAATTAACGTGGGGCCGGCGTTTGATGGGGTTTTCCTTTTTCCCTCCTCTTTGTCTCTCAATCTTTTTTATGCTGTTGTTGGGTTGGATTTGTCTCTCTCTCTGTATTTCACGGTAGTCTCGTATAGACTAGCCTAGCTTTCTTCATTTGCTCAACTTATCTTCACTCTACCTCAACCTTGCAGGCCTGTAAATAGCGGTTTGCGTGATCCACTGTGGTTGTTGTCGTCGCCCCGGGGCCAAAATTGATCTGTCCCTCCACTGCGAGTACTGGTGCTCGAGCGGGTATACCGGTATCATAGTGCAGTGCATATCGCATCATGTCCGCAATACAAGGACAATTGAACTTGTCAACCCCAAGCAGGCAGTACGAGTAGAACCACGCTAGTGCAAGGACTATCGGTAGGGTAAATGTACAGTACGAGTACAGTGAAACCAGCCCTGCTCTACCCGAGTTCCTGTGCGAGTAAAGTACCGCACCAACTAATCCCACAACAACGTCATAGCACAAAAACCAACTTCCAAACCGCACCGCACTCGAGCACAATACTCGTAGAAGTATGATACGAAACACTGTAGTCTACCCACTCAGCAGCAAGACAACCCAACATGCAAGTATCATACCAGTACAAGTTTGATAACAAACCATGACATCACAACTACGCACTTCCCAAAGCTCTACGAGCGCTAACTTGGTCTATATAACACATCCAAATTTCCTTTCCCCATCCCCGCACACTTGTGACTAGACCACAACTCGATTGATCAGGAAAACAATAGTCTACCAGTCGCACTCCCGCCCCAGACGAATTCGAAACGGAACGAGCAAAACGGAAAATGTCCTCCCAGAAAAGTGGCCGTCAATCGCCCTCCCCCGAGCGCCTCTCCGAGTCGCAGACCGGTGCGCCGTCGGGTGGGAAAGTGCGCGAGGAGCGGGTGGATACGGTGACGGATCAGAGCTCGGAGAGTCAGACTAGTCGCCTCACCAGCAATCCTGTGGGCCCTCTCGATCAAGCTGCCAGGGACAAGGCTTTGAAGCCTGGTGTCAAGAGTCTGGATGGGTTGTAGGGTTAAATGGAGTGGAAGGATTGCTATTGAACGGGTTATTTGGGATTCTTTGGTTGCTTCTCTTTTATCACTTTTCACTTGGTATTGGGCGCCTCAAATAAACTATGAGCCTCAAAACTTTTGCTCCTCATTCGTCATCTTGAATCACTCGAAAGTCTAAAGCTATAGTGTCCATTGACCGATCTCCCTATCACAAGCAAAGGCGGTCTACTCTTCGCCCGTAAAGTCGCCCAGAGAATCAGTCATCCCTCACCCCCACTACATCCATATTAAAAACCACGCTGGGGGGTGACCGACCGACCAGCCCACTAACACTCCACAAACGAGACAAGCTTCAAAAATATCGGCCTGCAATAGTCTGCAATCCTCGAGTCGTAGATGTTCTCAACTACACACGTGTCAATTCCCCTACCCCCCCACCCCTCCGGCTGAGGTTCCCGGGAAACTTACAGTCACCGCTCGCACAGGCGTAAAACTGCTTCTGCGGCCCCAGGGCGATCAAGCTATCCGGGCAAACGGACCAACCCCCGGTATAAACCGCCCCCGCTTGAGCAGGGGGTCCATCAAACTGGAATTGTCGGTTGGCAACGATGGAGCCAATTCGGCCCAGATGGTCGACCAGGAGGCCCTTGTTGAGAGACATCTTCAGAGAGTTCGGCTGGATGCATTGGGATTCGGCCATCTGGGAGGAGGAGGGGTGATCGGTTGGTTGGAAACCGAAGGCCCCCGGATAGCTGTCGAGACATCCCGGGGGGGAGGCCCCTGGTGGTCGAATGATAGCCGTGACTCCCTGGGGCACGCAGAGCGTTGAAGGGATCAGAAGGGGTGAGATGATGAGAACGGCAAGGGCAAATGAAAGCATGGTTGGTGAAATATTTGGGACGGTAAAAAAGCACCCTTTGTCGATTCAAGCATGCGGCAGTTCGTGGAAAGTAGAGTATAGTGGTTAGAATTATGGGGAAGGAAAGGGGGAAGCTAGATTTCCTCCTATCATATATAAGATGCCCAGTTTCGCCATCGTGACTAGATGGCTAGACCACGAGGCCTTGACGAATAGCTATGCGCATGCAACTCTCTTTGAGTGCGCAGAGAAGGGGCTTTCTTTGATTGCGAAACCACCTTGAGTGTAACTTACCTGTAGGCCTTGGATAGCATTACAAGAAACGGAAGCTCTCATCTCGACGAGTACTCGTACAATAATTGTAGCGGAGCAGGATTTGGAATGCCGGTACTAGGTGCAAAGTCTACATGAGTTCGCACTCGCGAGGCAGCCAATTCTGGCCGGGGCTACCTGCCAATGGTAGTAGCGCCCCAACTCGCAAATCGGGTAAATACTCGAGTAAGGATCTCGTGTCGGGGCGATGGGGTGTTCCACCGAAACAGAGAATCAGCAGCCCAGGGATAGATAGGACAGCACAGTGCAGTTTACATTATAACCAAAGCTCTATTTTCATGGGGAGGGCGAACATCTCAGCCCGCCGTTTGGGGAAGCCTAGACTCTCACTCTACTCGTATCGCACTCGAGCAGCCGAAAATGGCGCAACGCATCGAAGTTAATCAGGAAGGTTCCGAGTGCCAAATGGTGATTTGTGCTGCAGCCCAAGAATACCCAGTAAAGTCGGAGATGCAGGAACACGCCTGGTCTATGGGTACGTGGCATCCGACGCCCGCCAGCCAATATTACAGCAAACATCCGTTTGCTGTCCAGGAGAACGTTGAGAGCCAACATTATCTTCAATTGTATCATACAAACGTTGGGCTCGCTACTAAAAGCTCGCTTCACCCCCCACCTACTCACCATTCCCTTGACCGCCCCGGTTCCGATACACTCCATATATACTGGTCCCTTTGACTTACTCTCCCCGCTGAAAGAGCTGCTTATTGGAAGTCTGCTCTGATGGACCGGTCGGGAAATCTCTCTCCTGTTCTTGAAGAGGCGGTCACTAACATGCGACCAGAACCCTTGCCATCCAAAGTGGATCAACCGGCGATCGTTGCGCCAACAAGAATTTTAACAGAAACTTTAATGGACGCCCTATTTTCAAAAATTCGGTGCGGCATAACTACGGTGTGGTGAATGTCCGATCGTTAAGCGAAGAAGGAAGAAAGGGTAGGCACTGCAATCCCTGATCGATTAGCCACCCGAATCAAGGCCTCTAACAACTGGTCGGATACTGAATAGGGGAAGGATTGGTCCCATATCTAAAAGTCCCTTATGATAGGAACAATAACTTCATCGGTCGTGAGGATTCACTGGGGCGTATTAACAAAGCCGTGGGAAATGGGGAGCATGTCAGACTCGCACTGCACGGTCCCGGAGGCATTGGGTACAGTACATACAAGTCGCGCATCTTAGTATGCGATCCCCTGTGCTCCTCGGAATGTCACTAACGGCTACTAGAAAGACACAAGCTGCACTCGAATACGTTCACCAGCACGCGGATACGCGCAGTGTGTTTTGGGTGCGCGGAAACAACTTTCTAAAATTCAGCGAGGATTTCAGGAGCATCCTCCCCTACGCGAAAATTCCCCATAGGGTCGCCGCAAGCGAGGAAAAGGAGTTGCTGAAGACCGTGAGGCATTGGTTCGAGAGTCCAGCCAGCGGAGACTGGGTCTTGGTTATCGATGACGCCGAAAATGAGGCAGACTACAACAGCGAGAGCGGTCCGATATCCGAGCTCCTACCTCAAGGACCAAAAGGAACCGTTATATTCACCACAAGATCTCGTCGAGTGGCCGAGCAACAGGGTTGCGAAACCATTGAAATTGGGAAAATGAGAGACGAGGATGCCCGAGCGCTGCTTTTGGCCCGTCTCGAGAACCCGAAAAATTTAAGTGAAGCCGACCAAAAAGCTCTGACACTCATACTCTGCTCACTTGACCACCTTCCACTGGCACTTGTGGGTGCTGCCTCTCTGATGAGAGAGGAAAGTATGTCACCGTCGGAGTATTGGGATAAATTCAAAGAAATAGGTGAACAGAGGAAGCCACTTCCCCCAAAATTTCATTGTATACGAAAAGAGGTGGGCATGACAGAGAGCATTATGAACGCATACTTTCTCACTTTCGACCAACTGGAGAGGCGGATGTCCTTCGCTGCCGATATCCTTCGACTATCTGCTTTTCTCGATCACAAACAAATTCCGGAAAAGCTCTTAGAGCGATCCAACCGAGACAGGGAGCAGAGCGGAGGTTCCCTTGATGGCGCTATCGGCAAATTGGTCCGGCTTTCCTTAGTTATCAGTCGAAAAGACGGGACCGGCCGACCTGTTTATGAGCTTCACAGACTGGTGCAACACTCGATCCGAGAGTATCTCTCAGAGGAGGAAGCGTCCGAGTGGAAGGAGAAGGCCCTGGAGGTCATTTGGCGGCTATTTCCTCACTGCAAGCACGAGTTCCTCCAAGAATGTGCCGACTATCTTCCCCACGCGCTAGCTGTCACGGAAAACTCGACAAGTCCAATGGCGGAGGAGGTTTGCTTTCGCATGGCACTATACCTCAAGGAGGCTGCTCACCACGACACTGCTGAGGCACAAATCCGGCGGTGCATAAAACTTCGCGAAGAGAGTAGTGGGGCTTCGATTTGGTGGAGCTTACGTCGCTTTTTCCGGTACATTTTTTCACCTCTACGGACCACCAAGTATGGTGCGGAATATTGGTCGAGGATCGCTCTCTTAGCTTCAATCCTTCTTGAGTTGGGGTACGCCGAGGAGGCGGAAGCGGAATATCGGCGTGCAGTGAGGGGGAGGGCAAAGGCACTGGGTACGAACCATCCTGATACCTTGAGCAGTATAAACGGGTTGGCCGTGGCGCTCCACTTTCAGGGAAGATATCAGGAGGCGGAGAAACTATATCGATCCGCATTGGCAGGCAGGGAGAATGTTCTCAAACATGGCCACCGGGATATTCTAGAGAGTGTCGCTTTTCTCGGGGAGGTGCTGGAATTCCAGGAAAAACACGAGGAGGCGGAGGTAATGTGCCGGCGTGCACTAGAAGGTCGTGAACGGGTGCTTGGGCCGTATCATCCCGATACCCTAGAGGCAGTCTTTCATCTAGCTTCGGCATTGCAGGGTCAGGGAAAGCACGATGAAGCAGAGGTGCTATGTCGGCGAGTACTTGAAGCGTTTGAGAAGGCTCTATGGCAAGACGACTGGCGTACTCTATTGATCATGCACAAGGTGGCGGAAGCACTGCAAGAAGGAAGGAGGGTGACTCTTGCTGAGGCGGAAGCATTGAACCGCCGTATACATGAACGATGTGAGAGGGCACTAGGCGCAGAGCACCAACTCACCCGGGCGAGCATGAATAACCTAGCCGGATCGCTACGCGACCAGGGGAAATACCACGAAGCAGCGGTCACCACTCGGATCGCGATGGAGATCCTTGAGGACAGTGAAGGACCGGATCACCCGGATATACCAATGATTTTGTACAATCTTACACAAATGCTTCAGGACGAGGGAAAATACGACGAAGCGGAAGTGAGTAGTCGGCGGATAGTCAAATTCTATGAGGAAATGCTAGGCCCAGATCATCCGGGCACTCTGGTCAGCCACAGTATCCTCGCTGGAGTCCTCCGCGACCAGAAGAGGTACAACGAAGCGGAGGAAATGCTCCGGGATGCACTGAAAATCATGGAGATGGCCCTAGGCCCCGAGGATCCGGATACACTAGAAGCCATTGACAGCCTGGCTTTTGTCCTGCAGCAGGAAGGGCGATATAATGAGGCGGAGAACTTGCATCTGCGAGCCTTGGAAGGTCGGGAGAAGGTCCTGGGAGAAGGCGCCATCGATACTCTCACGAGCCTATGGCGCCTAGCCGGGCTCTACGAAAAGTGCGGGCAGGCTGCTGACGCTGATAGTGCATACCGGCGCGTGTACACGGGATTGTGTGGGGCTCTGGGAGAACAGCACTCGACTTCAAGGAAGTGTCTAGACGAATACAAAGCATTTCAAATCGAGCACCAGTTGATAGATTTCACCAGATGACCACCAAACTATCACGGAGAACGGAATTCCTATTGCCCGATGGTCCCATGGTTCTTATGGGTTAGCACCTTGACTTCGCAAATGGAGAGGGACGCGATAGTTCAGCGGGATATACAGATATTTATCCATAGCACAGCTATTGAAAAATCCGGGAGATTTTGTTGTCGCGCGCCGGGAAATCACAGGAGCTAGATAGAGAACTCAATAATCACATCTCAAAGTCGCTTGCCTTTGGAAAACCAAAATTTCAACCCGAGGTGCACTTTCTAGCCGGGACAAATAGATCCGTTCTCTAAGCATTGGTTCATTTCCATTGCCAGGCAAGACGCTTGACACCCGGGAAAGCAACCCGATGCCTCGGCACCAAGATCTACTACTGGTAGTTTATGCCTACGGTGAGATAACAGAAGAGTGTAGGATAGGTGGCGTTAAAATGAATTGCCCTATCATAGCAGTGCCGCTAAGCGCCTTTTGTTAAGCTGAAAGATGCCGCGTTAGTGCGAGTAATGTGAGTGATATACCATGATGCTCCTCCGACCGCCCAGGCCATTTTCCCACAACGCCCTCCCAGATGACCTAGTGCCCGGCGTTTACCCACTAATTCTTATCACTTTGGACCCCCGAAATACTATATATCCTCTGGTCTAATTTCTACTCTTTTCTTTTTCCCCCCTTCCTTCCTATTTGCGATCGCAGGGGGGAAACAGGTAAGGATTTAAAGCATAACTTGGACAGTCTTACCGTTCAATCTCCGAACCATAGGCAATGGGTGGGTCAGGAACCACGGCCAACCCTAGCGAGTCACCCGCTATGGAACTTTGGACTAATGTCACTCATGTCGTGTCCTTGATATGCAGTTTCATTTCCCTTCCCCTCTCTTCTCTTTCTCTTTCGGTATGTGATACCCACGAGCACAACACAATTTTCCCAGTCCCAGCCCAGAGGCGGCCGATGCATACATATAGTGCATCATGGCCCGCGAAGATAGCTAGAGCGGATAGCGGGCAAAATCCCCTTTCCCTCCCTTGCCACTCACTCCCTACTTTGGTCCGGCGGCACTGAACCCCACCACAGCGAAATCTAGTAAATTTTAGGCATGATACCAATACTAAGTTAGCCATAAGTGCTTGCCAGAGGGGTGCTGATGGCATCGGCAGGAGGGAAGGTATGGCAGCGGCTGGACCTTATAGGCTGGAGGCACAGAAGAAAAAAAAAGAAAAAAGAAAAACACATAAGGGATATGAGAGCGTCCAGTCCATTCTCCCTGTGCAACTGTTGTTCGGCCAGATCGGAGGAATGACAGGGATCGTGGACTTCAATTAACTTTATGTGCTCGTTCTACTGTCGCAGCCTCACACTGATTCTGCACTTCTATTTTATCACCGTTTGCGATTCCTTGTCTCTGGCGGACTAAGGCCTATCATACAGGAACCTCTTGTGGTGCGGGTTCCTTGAAATGTAAGCTGGGCCTTGGCACCGTATGCGGGCTGGGCACCGGTAATTTTTTTACGAACATCAGGCAATCGGGAGTATGATACGAGTACTCGTACGAGTACTGTACCAGTACAGTAAAGTACCGCACCCGAATGACACTGGTACCGGTATCATGGACTGCTCGAGCACGGTAAGTGACCCGAGCACAGAGGCCCCCCACCAGTCGACACAGTGCAACCAGCAGGATGATGCAACCCCACCCCCACCCCCGGGTAACACAGGCGACGGAACCACCAACCCACCAATAAGCCCGGCTCGAGCAGCAAACAAAAAACAAATCGGACCAGAAAACAAATTCTATTACACAAGCACCCGCCACCCCCTTTGCAATCAATGGCTTCCTCTCCGTCCACCGGAGATGATGTGAGTTTAAATCTACCACTCAATTGTTTCCCCGAGAGCATTGGTTGACGGATTGGAAAAAAAGGTCCTTGATCGTCTCAAGAAAAACGTTGACCCCACCGTTCTCTCGGAGCGTGAAGTGGCCGCACTGAAGCGGGCCGCAGAGCATTACGAGAAAGCCCGGAATCGGCTGAAAAATCTGGTGACCATTCCTCAGCTCGATATTTCCGAGCCCAATGGCTAATGCGTCTCGAGTCCAGGTTGACGACAACTCGACGCTCCCAGCCACTATTTCTCACATAAACATCGACGGGGCAAAAAACACCCGCGCCAGCTTCCTGCGAAAGGTCCTCCAGGAGACTTTTGCAAAAAGTAGGGAACCGGGGTTTACGTTGGAAGACGCCTTGCGGGAATTAAGACGCGACTGCCGCACCTTTTACAAGTTTGGGATATTTCACCCGCCCGGGCTCTACATCGATTCGACCGGTCGGGAGAATGGCAAGGCAAATCTCAAGGCTGAGATCAGCCTGAGGGAGCTGTCGAGGTTTACTCTGAAGACTGGTACCGATATGGAGGGCACTGATACGGGGGGCGCCGGGGGGAGCGGGTACCTGAGCCTTACTTACCGGAATATGTTTGGTGGAGCTGAGAGCTTGAATGGGTACGCTTCTATCGGCACAAGGACTAGGTCGGTGTATGAGGTGAACTTTCAGGCCCCGATCAATGCGAATCCGGATCTGATCCTGGAGACCAGTGGGTATGCGTCCACTCGATCCCACCAACACTATTCCTCGCATGAGGAGGTTCTTAGAGGAGGGAAGGTCGGGGTGAAGTGGGGCGAACATGAAACTGGGTATACGGGAGTTTGGAGACAGATTACGGGCCTTGCTGAGGGGGCTTCCCCAGTTGTCCGCGGCGATGCGGGGGACTCGGTGAAGAGCAGTCTTTGGCACACTTTCGCCAGAGACCGCCGAGATAGCCATTTACTCCCTACCCGTGGGTGGATGGTCAAATCAGAATCTGAGCTTGCTGGATGGGGAGGTCTCGGAGGTGATGTAGCCTTCTGGAAGAGCGAGATGGAGACACAGGTTGCAGCACCACTGGGCGCATCTGGCATCTCTGTGTCTGCGGGGCTCAGAGGCGGGCTACTATACCCACTCTCCACGGGTATCGGGGACAACAGCAAACCACCGCAACCATCCCGCATCAACGACCGTTTCCAGCTGGGCGGCCCAACGGATGTGCGTGGGTTCAGGGAAAGCGGGCTAGGACCAAGATATGGAAATGATAGCGTTGGGGGGGATGTCTACATGTCAGGGGGGGCCAATATCTACTTCCCTCTCCCTAAAGTAGGGCCAAAGAAGCCATTGAGGCTTCAGGCATTCGTAAACAGTGGGCGCCTTGTCGGCCTTCAGGGCCTTAGTGAAGGCGACGGGAATGTCAATAGCAGCGTAGTGGGAGCGTTTAAGGAATTGAGTAACGGGATGCCGAGCGCCGCTGCAGGGGTCGGCTTGGTCTACGCCCATCCAATAGCGAGATTTGAGTTAAACTTTTGCCTACCGCTCGTGAAGAGGTCTGGGGAGAGGGGTCGAAAAGGGTTGCAACTTGGGATCGGGATCAACTTTCGATAGTCGCGGGCCTCGCGAATGAACGAGCGCCCCATAGTCTTGTTAGTTTCTGTAGCATACACTTGTCGATTGTGGTGGCTAGAATTGTTTCCGTTGGGTCCCCCATGTTGCTCGAGCATCGTTTTGTTCATCTAAGTTAATAACAGTGCGGTATCGGTATTGCAATCAAAATTTTGCAAGGTTTCTTCCGTCCAGGGCGAGTACTGTACGGTACGGTACTGGTACTCGTATTGGCACTGTGCTACCGCACTGATACATGTAGAGTACTCGTACCCTGCTCAAGCATCATGTGCCGTGCACGGTTCTTGAGAGTGGTGGAACACTAAAAATGCCAAGTCACGTGGCTTGTCTCAGCCCACCAGGAGTGAAAGACCCTCTGTTCCATGGTATCATACAAGCACCCGTACGAGACTGCGAGTTGCCTTGGGGAATATAAATTTTGATAACGGTAGGCCAGGCATGTCTGGTTCCTGGGTTATGTGATCATAAAATCATGTGGCTACGATATCAAGTCACTCGAATTTAGTTTACAGTAGGTTGAGTGGACGAGTGTACGGTGGGTTAATACTATCATAGTAAATTTACTATGCCAACAGCCTCACAAACTCGACCCCCGGCCAAGAGCGTCCACCGGAACGCTACGGCACACTCCTACGGTAGCTATAACTCTTGACGGGAAGGGTAGCGGTATAGTATCTCTTCTGTCTCGGGCAGCCCAACATCCTCCTCCCAACGGTCGGCAAATCCACGGTACTCGAGTAGACTTGTCAGTATCTAACCACCTGAGGTCCTCCCGTGTGTGTGTGCTGAGAGACAGACAGCAACACGCACCACGAATTCCAACCTAACCCAACCAAGGCTGCCTAACCGCGCCAAACAGATGTCATCCAGCGACGCCAAGACACGCTGACCGCCAAGCGAGCAAGCAACATGAACCGCTATCCCTGATCGATCACCTAACTTCAACATCGTCGACACTTCCCTTACCTTACGGCCAGGTAACAACGCCTTCCTTCATCTCCTACGAACAAACCCCTCCCCTTTCACATCCGAGCCGGACCCTTCTTTCTTTGTCCCCTTGCTCCAGCAGCCCTGGTTCCTCCTCACCTCCCACCACGGTCGGCCTTTGACGGGTTTCGTTACTAACCTTCCACACGGACAGAGAGACCCAGACTGTAGACAAACTGACAAACTGACGACAGGCACACACACACGCCACTGTTGGGGATATTCCAGACATGGCTACTCGAGCTGCGAATAAGCGTGTATGTTTGCCCCCGTGTTTTGTACATTTGTCCATATTTCTCATGCTAGTTCCCGCTTCCAATCAGCTGTTCTCGAGACCTTTTCGCGAAAATGCTAACTGACTTGACGCCACCGACAGCTCGTCCGCGAGTACAAAGCCATCACTGAGAATCCACCGCCATATATTCAAGCTCATCCTAGCGAGTCCAACATTCTCGAGTAGCCTACCCCCCTTTTCCCCTCTTCCACACGACCGAGCTCACGAGGTATGCACAGATGGCACTACATAATAACCGGTCCTGAGAAGACACCTTACGAAAACGGCCAGTACTGGGGAACTCTGGTCTTCCCCGCCGATTACCCTTTCAAACCCCCCGCCATTCGAATGATGACCCCAAGCGGCCGCTTCCAAACCAGCGCACGCCTTTGCCTCTCCATCTCGGACTTTCACCCCAAATCCTTCAATCCGGCGTGGCAAGTCAGCACAATCCTGATGGGCCTGCTATCCTTCATGACGGGGGAGGAAATGACTACGGGCTCCATCTCAGCTACCGATCACGAGCGCAGGATTCTGGCCGCCAGGAGCCGCTGGTGGAACAGCACGGGCGGTGGCAGTGGTGTGCTGGACCCCGTCTCGGGCGCTGTGGTGTCGAACCGGACGCCCGGGGCTGGCATCGGAGCTGGCGGGAGTAGGGGCGGTGTGGGCAATGGAGATATGGGAAGGAAATTTAGGGAGGAGTGGAAGGATACAGATGCCGAGAATTGGAGGTGGCTGAGGTCTAAGGGCTTCGACCTCGCCAGTGGGCTAATCTTAACACCGCCTTCCGCTAGTACCTGTCCACCTGCTGGCACTGGCGCCACCGGTACCTCTGGAATAGACACGGAGGGCGCGAGGCGACGACAGCGTTCGGGCAGCATTGATAATACCGGAACCGCAGGTGCCGCCGGCGTGGTCGTGCGCAGGGGTGGTGGGTGGTTCGAAAGACACAGGGTATTCGTGGGGATCGTGTTCCTGATTGTTTGGGCTTTGTTAGCTCGGAGTTTGGAAGGAACGGATGAGTGATTGAGGCGTCCGGTGTTGGGTGGGGCGCGAGATGGGATAGGACGGGTTATGTCAAAATCTCCCAAAAACATTTTAAGTGGAGGCATAGTTATTGGGTGGGGGCAGGTATACAATGGTCGGCTTCTCTGTGTATTAACAGCACTTTTTTGCTTGATAGCATTATTCTCTCTTTATCCTGAATGGCCTTTTGGTGATTATATTATTGCTTTTTCCTTTCTTTTTCCCTTCCTTTCCCCTCCCCTTCCTCTAAATCACATTGCTTCTTCTTTCTCTGGCTTGTTAATGCATTATCCACCTATGGCCCGCAAACGGCTGAAATCGACCGTACCACCTTTCCCTAGTCTGGAATGTGGGAGTGAATCCTCATCTACCCCCTTGATTGTCACGAACTAGAATGTTAAGAAAAGGGGCAACATCCATTTGAAGTACCACCACTAGACCAGAAAATGCCCGAGTATACTACCTTAGTAACTTAGTAACCCTCCTCCCCCCGTGGAGCCTTTGTCCCTGAAGGTGGGAGACGGCGGAGTCCGGAAGCATTACGATATTATCATACTAGATGGTCTACGGGGTTCCCGCCCACTTTTTTTCTTCTCTCTTTTTGATTCCCATTCCCCTCTTTCTTTCTTTCTTTCTTACACCTGGCGTACCATAGAATTACGCATTAACAGTAACTGTGCCGCACCACGTATCGCGATTGTTCCGTGCGTAAAAGGTATGCTATCACGAGACGGGGGTAATCACAGGCCATCACTCGGGAGAACTTTCTCGCGCTGAATGTCGTTTGCAAAAGTGATGGCAGGAATGCACTGCTGGTACAGTACAGCACGGCAGAGGAAAAGAAGAAAGAGAGAGAGAGAGAAAGAAAACCCGCATGGGGTGGAATCTTAATAGGTGCTCTTCACGGTCTTGTAGTATCCTCCATGCACTAATCATCATTTCATTACCCCGCCAGACCCGTACGACATTTTAACACTGATCGAATCTACATACCGCTAGGTGCGCAGGAATCGCGATTCGCGAACCTCTCAATCTCGGTTCTGATTTTCCGTAGTGAGTGAGTGAAAAGAGCCACCCTCAATCCGATATTCACCAGCTAATCCATTCATCCACTCTTTTCCCCAAACCCTACTGACTCGAATCCCCCCCCCCTTGTTGAAAAAGGGAGGGGGCACTAATAACAGCATATCACTTGGACCCCCGGCCAGTCACCGTTTTCTTGTCCCTCCTAACATGACACGCCTGGTCCGTGCCTTCTCTCAGAGTTTGTTTAGCGCGTTGCTGAAACTATCATCTATATTGTACACCTTTTCCTCCACGATTCGACACCTTCCTTATCCACCCCCCACCCCCCCCCCCCAAACCGAGAATAATATTCTCCTCTACTCGTACTGTCAGGACCGGAATATCACGAGGACGATGAAAAGAAATAAATAACGTTCCAATCGAATTCGTCAGGTCCCCGTCATCGATCTCCAACTGACTGACTTGATCGATATCATACATCACTTAAAAAAAATACCATGACTCAAGCTTGACAAATCCCCCAACACTTCTCCTCCTACCCAGTACCCACCCCCCGTAGAAAAAAAGAAAAAAAAAAGATCTACCTTTTCAATCACGACATCAGTAAATTTCACCGTTCAGACACTTTCGCGGAACAGTCCGTTCCGGGATTTGAAAAGGATTTTAAAGGAATTTTCGACACGGGCGGGTGGGCGGGCGTCTCATATGCTCATCAGTGAATGGAGATTTTGCACCTACTAAGCACTCGAGGCCTTTCCCTTTCTTGCGAGGGGGGGGAGGGGGACGAAAGTCGTCTCGCATGTGGCAGGTGGGGTATGATGGCTGCCATTATCTGGTTCGAGTAGTCCACTGCTGCGGCTGCGTGAGTGATGGTGGGTTAGTAGCCGGGGAGTGTTGAGCGGCATGATATATTCGGTGGTCTCTTTTCCGTGCGGAGGGGGACACCCTGGGGGCTTTGTATAGTGCTGTCGGGAGGACTGGTGGGTGGGTTGGTGTGGTACGGTAGGTATGATAAGCTTCTGATAGTAGCTCGAGGGAATTTGGGAATTGTGTTTCACAGCAGGCGGGGGAGAGACTAGTGCAAATAATCACTGTTCTGCGATATTGGGCCAGTGGTGCATTGGCGTTCACTGTTTACAGTGTCGTAGACCACTTGCCCGGGCTGGGCAGGAACTCCGGGAGTGAGATCGGTCCGTGATATACAGGGCGTCCGTTCTAGTGGAATAAATGTATGTATGATACGAGTACTGTATATCCGTTGATCGACAGATGGACAGCGCCGGCACACCGCAACATTTATCATATCGGCAGAGGAGGTGCCGATACTCAACTCTACCACACCACATCTATCTATATATTGGTGTCATCAAGCTATGGCGCCTCCCACTAGTATCCCAGGAAGCTAGCGCTCTCTCATACCCCCGACACAAGCTTTAAAACAATCTCATAGCACGTTTCGAAGGAAAAAAAAATCTCCCAGAATAGTTTTTTTTTTTAAAAAAAAAAAAGTCCCAATGGTCCCCAATTTCCCCAAATTGAAACAATGGAATACCTTTATTCAGGAACCACCATGGAAGAACTGGAAGAAAAAAAGAAAAAAAAGAAAAAAAAGTGAGAACAAGAAAAATCCCACCCAGGCATAAAATGAAACAACCATTTTCGGTAATTCACAACTAGCCACAAAAACAGGAAGAAAGCACTAATTTTATTTCTTCTTGGCTGCTGCCTCATCGTCCTTGGCCTTTTGTCTCTTTTCCCTGGCACCAGCATTCCTGGCATCTGCGCGGGCAAGGCGCAATTCCCTGAACACGTTCCTCTCCTTCTCGGCGGCGGTGATAGTGCGTTCGGTGAAGATAGTCCTACCGGGGTTGGGGTTGATCGGGAGGATGGCAGCGACGGAGCGAGTTTGAGTGGCATCCTTGACGTCTTCCTTCGAGGAGTCGCCGGACTTGGGCTTATTGGCACGGCGGGGGAAGAGGATAAGCTTGGATCTGTACTCGTTAAGTCGGGCGACGTTGACCTGGAGGGACTCGACCGAGGTGTTTTGCCTGCGGTGGTCGACGGGGATTCCGATGGTCAAGGCGAATTTACGGGGGATCTTGGCCTCCTGTTTACAGTCCTTGCGTTAGCTTGATCCAGGAGCTAGCGATACAGGAGAAGGACGGACCTTAAGTTCCTCGAGGGTGAATCCACGACCCGCACGTACACGGCGGTTGTATTTGATAGTCGGGCATCTAACGATGGGGCGAAGGAGGTCGACGGGTCTGGGAGCTACCGCAGAAACCTTGGCCAAACGAGCATTGCGACGACGGTGCTTGCGTCCGGGCTGTAAATGCCGAAACCCAATCCATTAGCCTCAGCCCCCCCCCCTACTTCCAAAATATCCATCTAGCCAAACTTCCCCAACCACCTCCATCTCCCAATATCCACCAAATATAGTAGCCAGAGGGGAGGCCCGTAGAATCGACTAACCTGGTCAAAATGAGTCCGCACACGAGTCTGCCATTGCTTGCGGAAATGGTTGTTGGGGATTTGCTACAAAAAAGCCAGCCCACAAAAATCAGCACTCGCTTCCATTCACACAAGACAGAGGGAACGGAAAATCCTCACGTTGTTGTGCTTGATCGCCATTGCTGTTGCTCTCGGTTAGTATGTCGCCCGTCGTCCGTCGGTCGTCCAGAGAATGTCGGGTGGGTGGGGTTTTTGGCGTTGCCGAAATTTTAGAGGAGTTTGCATACGGGTGTTGGCTCGCTTCAATTGGTGCGTGCGGGAGGGACTGGTGTATGTAGGGCTCCAGACCTTATCTCGCCCGGTCAGATTATTAGGTAAGCAGGTGTTGATAAGGGGTGGGCTCTTGTGCGATCCTGGTGGGCGGGGTGTTTTCTCGAGCGGGGAGTTTTTAGCTGGGGGGAAGATTGGTCACTTGGCACTCACTACCTTTGGAGTTTAATTTCATGGAGTCTTGGGGACTCAAGATATCGTTCGTTCGCTCATTCATTACTTCCTGTTAATTTTCGTGGGATGATGCGGTCAAGGGTGAAAGTAGAGCACGGCATCAACACCAACCATATCATAATATTATCATGCAAGAGCCCACGGTCCGTAGCCCGCATTTTAAAAACTGTGACTGTTATGGGAAGTCTCTCATGTAAGACCTCGTAGGCCTGATACTCCTTTATTATATCTCCTAAAATATTTATTCTTCGAACTCTTAGTCATAGCAATTAAAGTCTCCTATGTACCTTCTTAACTGTATCCATTTAATTGACTTGACTTGGAATACCTTACTTGATCTTGGCACATCTTCAAGTTGCATATACCTAGTTGTTCGTATGGACTTTATTTAATGCTATACGAGTACTATGATTATCAAGATCTTTGTTAGAGGTTATAGTATTGGGGAGGGGAGGGCGAGTTATCAGGTCACTTGGTTTACTTTTCCAATACGAGTAGTATATTACTTTAAACTTAACTTTGTTGAGTGTTATTGATATGATTCAAGGACATAGGAACTTGGCCCCATTCAGGAGTGCAGTCACAAGATCCAGTCTTTAAGAAAAAAGGTTCGGTATACCTGACCCCAGAGATCCCGAAGCCCTCACCTATCTAGATAATTTTGGCATGTACTCGTACATAGGGGATAATGTGATCTTATCGAGAAGGCATCTCCTAATGCACCGCAAACTCTAAAAGGCAAACAACGAGTGTAATCGTCTCAGCTACTAGTATTGTATTAATAAGCTCCCGCTCTCTGTGTGTCACAATACTTGAGTAACATTCACATGCTTGGCAATTATCATACTCGTACTTGGCAGATTTTCGGTTGCATTGCCCTCAGCCACCTAGTCCACACACTTCCATTTATTCACAGGTTGTTAGCTCCTAGTCGATTAAGTCGTTTATCGATTCAAAACGTGTTTTGGGGATATTGCCTTGCCAAGCAACTTGCTTAATATGCACTACTCGAGTAGACCATGCGTTAACAACTAACTTAACTTATTTCTGTAACCCTTGTAATATGGACACAGCGCATTTTGAACCGATGGACCACTCAATCGACGACGAGTCGAACACAACCCTTATTTTATTTCCAGCCACATACCCAACAAGCACTACTACGATAGAGCCACCCAAAGAAAATAGCCAATGGAAAAATACAAGGAAAGAGAAGAGATGAAGCGAAAACACTAAAACTAAAACTCCACATTCTACCATATATCCCGTTTGCTTGCATTTAAACGAAAACTTTTTACAAAGCATCTTCGGCCTTCCTCTTGACTCCACACTCTCTGCCAGCCCGTCTGGTTCTAACGGCGGCGGCGAGATTCTGCAACACGTCAACCGTGGATTCCCAGTTGATGCACGCGTCGGTGACGGAAACACCCTTCTTGAGGGCGGTTACGCCACCCTGCTCCGGGGTGGGGATGTCCTGGCGGCCCTCGTTGATGTTTGACTCGATCATGACACCAACAATGGCCTCCTCGCCGTTGCTAATTTGCGCAGCAATGTCCGCGGCTACAATAGGTTGGTTCTGCAGCGCATTGTTAGATAAGGGAACTCTGGGGAAGAAGTAAAAAAACAAAAAAAAAACATACTTTGTGGTTCTTGGAGCTGTTTCCGTGACTGCAATCGATCATCATGACCTCCCTCTGCCCCTTCTTCCTCAAGGCAGCCTTCGTGGTCTGTACGTCCTCGGAGCTGTAGTTAGGGCCCCTGGAACCCCCGCGAAGGATAACGAAACCGTGCTCATTTCCTGTGGTGCGGGTGATGGCGGCAAGGCCTTGCTTAGTCACACCCATAAAATGGTGAGGGTGAGAGGCAGAGAGGACAGCATCGATAGCGATGCTGAGCGAGCCATCGGTACCGTTCTTGAAGCCGACCGGGAAGGAAACGCCCGATGCGAGCTCACGGTGGAGCTGTGATTCAGTGGTGCGGGCACCGATTGCTGCGAGGGAGAGAAGATCTGCAAGGAACTATTTTTGTTACTAACTGCTCGTTTACTCGGGACAAAGGGAATTACCTGGGGGGAGACAGTGTCCAACATTTCAGACGCAATAGGGACTCCCATGTGTGTAAGCTCGACGAATAAACTCCTGCTAACTCTCAAACCCTTATTGATCTGGAAGCTCTCGTCCATGTCAGGGTCATTGATCAATCCTTTCCATCCAACGGTGGTCCTTGGCTTCTCAAGGTAGGCTCGCATAATGATGACCAGGTCGTCCTGGAGCTCTTCTGAAATGGCCTTCAGGCGCCCAGCGTATTCTTTCGCCGCCTCGGGATCATGGATCGAGCATGGCCCAACCACGGCGAGAAGCTTGTCGGAGGTGCCGCTGAGCACGGCAATAGAGTCACGACGACCCTTGAGAACGGTAGCTTCGGATTCGGGTGTCTTCAGCCCCACAAATCAGTATGACTCGTTATTTGAAGAACAAAAAATCAAAAAAAAAAATTAAGGTTAGAGAGAGAGGGAGAAATACAGAAGGAATCTCATGTTGCAAAAGACTGGGAGGAATCAAAGGATCCTGTCCGAGAACTTTTGTTCCGTACTTCATCAGCTCTCGCTTCTCCTGGACCCTCGTTTTCCTTCGTTCTATCCGTTCGACATGGCTGATTGGAGAAAAAGATTCCGGGGACTTGTAAAATAAAGAAAACGTACCGCGAGAGTCTTCAACCTCGTCAGCTTTAGGAGTCATGTTTGCAGCGGTATCGGTATTTTCGGTTGGGAGTCTTGATTTGTCGAGTAAAAAGAGGGTTCCTTTCAAGAAGTGAGAAGAGAATTGAGAGGTTTATATGAGTTCTTAATCGACTGCCACTCTGTTAGAAGGGAGGGGAAAGGCCTCGGTTCTACAGTATTTCTATGCGGGTTTCTACCCGGGCTGGTCAGTCTTCTCTAGTTCAGCAGGTCGTAGGAGTGGTCGTAGGAATGCCGTAGATAGGAAAAAGGAAAAAAATAATTTTCAAACACCCACCACAGGCAAACTTTAATGAACTGATCACCCCGCACACACCACGGAAATCAAATAAAATTGACGGAGCAAACAAATCCCACGAGAGGCGCAGCACGGTCAGCAATAGTGAGTGGTAAGAGTGCAAGATGGGGTGTCGATGGAACAGTATACCAATATCGGCGGGGAAAAGGGATTGGAGCACGGTAATGGTAAGAAGGAACGATGAGTAACAGATGGTGATCTGGGCTCCGAGAAGGGCGGAGTGGGAAGGAGAAAGTGAAGGGAGGAAATAGAGGGGCATGTGCTGAGACCAAATTCGTCCTGACTGTGCAGTACCGTACGATACAAACCGCCCCAACAGAAAGTGAAAGGGAAAAAAAAAGGGAAAAAAAAAGAAATTCTCCAAAAATTAATCATGTCATTACCGAAGAGAGAGATGAACTACCACGGTACAGTACTCGAGTACAGACTTGGGATACAGTTTTCATCCCCCAGCTAGATCATTTCCCCATGGCCCGTGGCCTCAGGGCTCTCTAATATTATTTATCGCGGACCCCATAAAGTTACGGTAGTGAGAAACTCACGGAAATCCTGTAAATCGCTGGAGTAGACTGCTCAACCCAAATGAGGTACGGTAAAAAACTGGTGAAATCCACTATCTCCGCCCGCCTGCTCCTGAGAAGGATCTGGAGTTTCCCCAGACGGTAAAGCCTGAGCATTCAGTCTGTGTTGGGTCTGACCAACTGGTATTCGCAATTCTTTTAACCTCTCAAACTAAGCCTATCATGGGTGAAACAGAGATTAACCCATCCTAGGGAGTGGATTTCGAGAGAATTTTACGGTACAAAGAATCTCATCGGGGCTGGTGCATCGAAGCGGTTATCAAGAGCAAATCGTATGGCTCGCCAGAGACAGCATCTCGGCTACTCCAGTAGCTACTCCACTATACTGCAATAGAATAGGTTAGAACACATATATCTACGGAGTATCTACTCGTAGTACCGGTATGGTGTCATGGAAAAAAAACCAACTGCCGTAACCATTCTTGAAGTTTGCCAAACTCGTTGCGGTGCACATATTTGCTTACGTGCCCAGGCCAGACTTGTGCTCAGGGGAAGAATCATAACCGTAGTATATTACCAATATCCTGCTTTTATTGTACTGCGCACTGCCGCGCTCTCTCCCCCGGGTGCTTGTGGACCATTCGATCTCCCTCCCTCCCCCTCCCCCCCCCTCCTCTCCCCTCCTCTCCCCTCCTCCCCCCCCCCTCCCCCATCCAATGCAAGAACATCAGCTATCACAACAGTTGGTCCAAGGCAAGGCTCAGCCCAACCATGCCGTAACCCGATGGAGACTGCCATGCGGAAGGTTACGCCCGGAGCTCCGCAGCACACACGGGATGCTCGACCTGTGCCCTTCCCAGATCCCAAACAGCTGGTTTATCAGTGCCTCAGAAAGGCAAAATCATCTGTAGAAGAGGCCGGCTTATAGAAAGGACAAGGGAACCTATGCTGTTGGAGGGGCTGATGCACCCGCTTGGCCGGTACCATGCGGTACCATGCTGCTATCACAGATGCACGCCGTGCACACCTCCTGCCAGAAATGCTCCGGCTTTTGCAAAAAGGTTTAGTACCAGGCATAACATGCTACCCATTCTATTTGTTCTGCAGATAAGACGATGATATCACTGAGTTGTACAGTGCCTGCAACAGTAACCATTATCTATTACACAGAGGACATGAGCAGGAGCCAATAACTGGCTGAGTCCAGCCCGCGAGACATGCATCCTACTTGTGCTCGTCAAGGAGCAAAAGACATCGGTGGGCATGATTAGTTTAGTTAGGTTGTGATTCTATTACGGAAAAGGTAGCCCCATAGTGCTATCATATCCAGTGGCAATGATTTAGTCCAAAACCTCCCTCACCAGTACGTATCCGCACAGCCGGCTTCCGAAACCCCACATCAACCATCGTCTCGATAATCCCCACCACTAGCATAGGACGAGGGATGGGCTTGTGTATCACCATCCCGACAGATGTGCGCTCCAGTCCGTCTTCCTATTGAGTCTCTTGCGGGCGTCGGACGCAGCGAGGCTTCTTGCTATCTAGGCTGACGCGCCTTTCTATTTCATTCCGTCTGGGGGGCAATCCAAGTAAGGGTCAATGATAGACAGGCATAAAACTAGTTCATTTGGTCGCGCATGGTTTGGGCTTTGTCACGATATGCGGCCACTGTAGCTCCGCAAACACTGGCAGCACTAGATATTGCCCGTGCCCCGGCACCCAGTACGCATCTGTTGAACCACACCCCTCCAGGCTAAAGGCCTTCCAAACGGTTACGGTACTTGTAAACATCATGCTGGTGGCAAAACTAGACCGCCTTTGCAAAGTCGCCATAAGCGAACTCGAGCCTCACGGTGAAGCTTCAACACAACAGAGTGGTCATGACAAAACAACCTCAACAAGAATTGCATCAAGTCTGAACAGGACCAGGAAGCAATGCTACTGGTATCGGTGAGGATCTATCGAGGATTAATTGCACTTGCATAAGAGTGCCTCGTTTATCTCATGCGAAAATAACCTGGTGGGGCAGAAAGGGTTCAGAATCCGTATGGGGGGAAGGCCAACTTTGGCCACGTGCAGATATGTTACGGCAAGATCGAAATCGCTCAAGTGTTAGAGTGGACTAGTAAAGTGGCCAGATATGACAGGTACAGTACGGAACAGCCAGGCCTTGTTCGCCGCCAAATATTTGTGTCAGGAACTCATTCTTATTTTTCAGGGTTACTGTGGAGTGTGATAGGTGGAAATCGCTAGACTACAGGGTTTAGACAAGTTACAAAAACCTAAAATTTTATGTGATACAATGTCATACAATAAATCTCGGGTTCCATAAATTTCCCGGAAGGAGTGCCCCGGCTAGACACCTGCAGTTAATTGAGATCTCTGATGAATTGAGGTTACAAGTGCGATAGGAGTTTCATTCGCCAAAGAAAAGGAATGCTGGATAGTGGGACTATCACGGGGGCCAAATCCATGAAGAGTGGTTTCTCGTTCTTCTAACCTTAAACGCTATGTGGGTCTTTCGCGAAGAACCGGGGAATAAGTATAAAGATGTCAATATAAAAGTAGGGTGTATCAAGGTGCTTTCCAAACACGCCCCCGTTTTTTATATATTTTAACGGAGACAAATACGCTATAAAAGCCGGAAATGGGCCGCTTTTGTTGCCCGCCAAACAGGGCCTTACCTTCCTACAGTATTCGGAGCTAGTAACTGAGGGCATTTTTAATAACGCCGGGGACCCGTCAATAAGAAACGGTCTCTTAGAGTGAGTGTCCCCCACCACAGAAAACTGCTAGTTGGAGCTCCCCACCCACTGCCCGAGTGTGGTATATCACTAACATACCGGTAGTACCGTAAGAACTCAGACAATCGGGCCTCGTGCTAGGACTTTGGACTTACCCCTCTCTGTGAGGTCTGGTGTTTTTTTCCTTTTCTAATTGTCTCGGAAACAGTGTTTTTGGGTGTGTTTGCCCTTTTCAAGAGGAGGAAATTTCGGACTACATAGCACATAGTCCGGTTACGGTATCCGAGCTCTTAATGTATGATACGAGTACGGTAGCCGGGAGCGGCGGCAAACAATACTCGAGCATACGTACGAGCACAAAACACCAAAAAGCTAGTGGTCAACATCAAATTTAGTAGGGGTTGTTCACCGAACCCCCCATTCGTCCCCCCCATCCTCACTCTTCCTCGTTCTCTAACCCGTTAAAACTCTCGACCAGAAAAAGTCCATCGCTCAATCTCTCTTCTCTTGGAATCCTGGCCCAAAGATCATGTGCGCTATGGTGCAGAATCTCTGTCCGAAGCTATTGCACAGACCCAGCGATGCAAGGATCTTGGCCCCAAACCCCGAAATTCATGGCCCACCCACACACAAACTTCCAATCCGGGGGTATCATACTGAAATTCGAGCCTTGCATCGGCTCCCTTCACGACATCAAGCCACCTACCCTCGACACTAAGATGGCAGACAAGCATCGCGAAGCTATGCGGTAATGATGCCCCCCCCCAAGGAAAAATTCATCACATCCAGGTCGGGCTAACCACGTTCCTCGCTAGCCTCCTCTTACCTTCACACTTCCTTTTCACTTCCTCAGTATCATACTTGAAACTGGGTAGACTTAGACTAGCCGTACTCTGGCTTTGAGTGAGCTGGTGCGGGTCGGGTGGCTTACGCGGGAGGCCCCTGGGATTGCCAGGGCTCACCCGAGTTCACTGAGCCAAGTCTTAATAATCCATACCATCAAGGTATCTTATCATACGCCCAGGCAAGAGTGCCCTACGCACCCCACTCGAGTATTCAGCGCCGGGAGAAGCGGCGTAGCCGCGCTTGTAGTGGTCAATAGCGAGCTCAGTTAATCACCTGAATTGGAATGGTCACTCTCGGCAGAACATTAGTGACTTACAGTACAGTACCGTAAACATCCTCAATAGGTGCCCGGACGCACAAGTTTGTTCTGGAAGGTTTCCAGCGTTCCAAGTGCCGCGATGGCCTCTTCGAGATTTAGCAATGATGGTAGCAGACGGTTTCTTCCGGCAGTCAATGTCCCCGAAAAAGTTCCACTCCTTCGCCACCGTGACTCCGGACAAAGTGAGCACGCTACAAGCAATTCGGATCTCGAACGGGTTATAGCTAACAGGAAGCGCCGCTATCTTCATAAGCCATCACTCAATTGGCAATCCAACCATCCTAGCCCCTCGGAGAAGGCCCCGATGCGGAAGGAGGGCACAAAAAATCAAACCGCCATCTAGGAAACAAACCCGCCTACAGCTGTACCTCGCTAGTGTGGACCTCCTTATAGTGGAAAAATTCTATTACGGGCAAGTTGCTTGGGAACTCAAATACCCCGGACAAATTTTCCCGCAATAACAAACATACATTGTCCAACATTCCACAATGAGTTCGAGTTGAATTTTCGGATATTAACCCCCCCTGTCTCTACAGGTATACAAACTCGGCCTGCTATAATGAAATGCACTCAATCGACAAGTAGGAAACCGTCATAGTGTGGCGCGTTGAGCTGAATTTTTGGGCAGATTGTGCCCTGAGATTCTCTGTTGTGGTCCACCATATCATTCTTGTATTTGGCAAGAGGGGCCCGCTCTTGGCTCTTCACAGGCCTCCCCTCTCTAGGTTTTATAATCATGATAGTATGCCTGAGATGTTGCTCCTGGGGCTAGTGCGAACCTGAGGGCTCTGGTGGCTCTTCTCTCTGGCTCTGTATGAGTACATGCATAAAGCAGCCACTCAGAAGGTGGAAATAAGTACCCAAAATCGCCAGAACAAAAGAACATCTTATAGTGTCAATGTTTTGTTACTTCTTCGCGATTTGGTGTACTATTGGAGGCTCGCTATAATGAAATGAAAAACGTGAACCCTTGGCGTTCATATAGCAGGGTACCACTGTGGTTCCCAGAGCGGGTGACCCATATGCATTATCCCCTACAGCGATGGAGCCGAACTTCCCCACATTATGATAGGTACTAGCCGGCGGCACAGAACCATGCCGAAGGTTGTCATATGGACCGATCTGGTACTCGTCCCTGACAAGAATTACCGGTACCCGAGCATTGAGGATAATTTCGTCTGCTCATGGTAATCCTTGTGTTTGGGTATTTCTTGCCAGGGACGAGTATGGTAGAACATCAACCACCACGGGGGCCTGAGAATACACCGCTAAAAACCCGCAGGGTTTCCCGGATTCACTGGATTATCTAAGGTCGATGACCTCGCTGTGGTGTCCTGCATTTTTCTGGGTTCCCGAGTGTGCTTCCCGCCACGCCATCGAGAAACTGATAGCGCACCCACAAGGGTGCGGTCACTGCCAGAACCGGGTTACGGTAGCTCCTACTAATCGGCACAAGTCCGCAGCAACAACCCTTTGGCCCGACTACACGCCAGGTCTTGGTGGTAAGGTTTACGAAACCATACCCTCGGGCACTGTGTCCATACGAATGGAAGGGAACTCTGCATTATGAGCTTTGCCCGCTCCGAAAGCAAGGATTTAGCCCACCAACCCCATGCAGATTTACAAGTATGGTGCTTGGAAGTGAAAGATTGACCGTAGTTGGGAATGAAATTTCCGTCGGTATGATGCCCGCAAAGATCCCTCCCCCGCAAGCGGTAAGTGAGGAAGCTAAAGAGTTAGATATGTTGACGGAATTCTTGCCGTAATTCCCCACGATTGCGGACAAGTGAGCTATCACTGCGGGTTCGCCCCATGAAAAGGGAATTGCGATATTAAAGCTGGGGATTAGGGAATTTAGAAGATTTCAGGGGTAAGAGGGGTACAGCCACACCCCGTTACCCCGGATGGCCAAAATTTTAGGATTTCATCCGGCACAGCGGGGCATACGGGTGAGCGAAAGGAGTTCATGATAGGGCCCGGGTGCCTCGGTAAAGTTCTCATTCCCTTCCTTGCACCTCAGCAATACCTATTAACGACAAGACAACTGCAAGTGCCTTTTGGTCAATTGTTCCGACACTCCTCTAGGGGCGCTGTAAGCTTATAGCACAATTTGCCTTACTAGGCGACAGGAGGGGAGGGCAGCGAAGCTATTCCGAAGGTCTGTAGTGGGGGAGCATTGCGGAGGCGGCCGCACTTACAGCACAAAATTGATTGGACCTACTAATATTGATGACTTTTTTATATTAAACAGCCCAGCTGGAGCCCCTACGTTTCCTTTCCTTCCCTCAAGGTGTGCTTTCAAGTCACTTTGCAAAAGACGGGAAGAGATGGACCCCCTACGCTACTAAACCGGCCGACAACCCAAATGTCGCCTCATCCTTTATTCCTCCTTCCTTTTGCGACGTCCTTCCCAAGTCTACCACTGGAGTACACCTCAGCAGAACAAATTGTGCAATCCGGGGGGGGTTATCGGTAAGGTGTATTCAGGTCCCGTATGAGCCCGAGGTCTCCGGTTCAGGGGGGTCCGGTTGAGTGAGATCCAGGATAGCGGGGTGCGGCTGTGCCTTATATCCATTTGCGGGCGTGAGAACCAGGTTTTCTGGCCGACCCTGCCACGTAACCAGCTTCATTGCCTGCCACGAACGAATGGAAATTTGGGAATCAGAATGCGGGTCTTAATTTAATTGGGCGCCCAGACGGGAAAAAAGTTGATATCAGGCCACAGGGTCCTTATAATAGAATGAGGAGTAGCGGCCTAAGCAAATGCGCATGGGGAATAAAATCGCTTGATCACATGGTATCACTCGCCATTACCCCTTCTCCCCGTGTTGGAGCTTCCTTCCAAATAGAGTATCGCCGGTACCCGTATCTTTGGTCCCCGGGCGGGATAGCGTGGGGGAGGGAAGTTGATGAGTGTATCTGTACCCGCACTGTGTAAGCAGCTGGGCATACCCCCTAGTCTTTGAAATATATATATATGAGTTGCTATTATAGGGTCCTTCCGCAAAAGTCTTCGTGTGGGGGCGTACTTTTACCATACCGGTAACGGCGAATCATAGATATAAACTTGGAATAACTAAACAACCAAGGAGTAATTTGGCTCTCTGTAGTTTCAGCTAGTCACTATCTCAAAATGTGGGCTGGGTCCATATCATGATTTCAGGTGTCCGTGGTGCCCGATCTGATTGGGAAAAATTTCAAATCATGATTTCACAGAATTCCAGGGCGTACCCAAAAGGATAAAGAATTTAGGATGGGGGGATTTTTATTTCCAATTATAAATATTAATTTAATGGCACTATAACCAGGATCTCTCTATATTATACTATATAACTACTTAGGACAATCATACTCATCCTTTGGCACGGTTCCCAGACACTATCTATTTCACAAAATATTTTCTTTATCCAACATTTTATTCTTTTATTTTTCCTGACTGGACCTTTTTCTTTTTTAACAGTATCCTTTTGTGCCTGAATAATTACAGTAGAAAGTACTACTTTATGGAGTATACAATTTCTGTATGTAGGTAAAAACCATAGATTAGAAACCTATGGCATAAAAGAATGGATTGAACAACAGATTTGAAAACCAAATTTTGTATAGAGTTCTGTTGAATAAAGTAACAATGCTTCATACACATTAAAAATATGAGTTATTCAAGTAAGAGATGACTTTGAAAATAGTTATTATTTGTCTAATATCCAGTTAGTAATGACAAAGCTAACAATTGTCATAGTAGAAAAAGAAGTAGAAAATATTTGATTATCTTTTCCATACCACTAGATTTAACAGAAAGAATAAAGTACTAATAGTTAAGGTAGCTGTATGTATTTAGTAAAATTATTTAAAAGTGTAGAGAACTTGATATTATAAATAATAGTAATAATTAAATGATATACTAATTACCTCAAACATAGTATTTTTGTAATTAATACTACTATGATAAAGTAAAAAGATATTAGTGAAGAGCATTTAAAAATTAAGAGGTAATGTGAAATGACAAATATAATAAACAGATTAAGGTAACAACCTTATATAATAAGATGTAACTGAGATGGACAAAGATAGAAAAATATTTAAATAATACCAAATAAAATAATTAAAAGATAGATAAAAAAAACTATCAGTAGAACTATAAGAGAAAAAGAAGCTTCCTAATCTAGATGTAAATATTTATAAATGTATAAAGAAAGCAACTATACTATCTAAGCAGTACCAAATAAGCAGTTTTCTTATATTTGATAATACAGAAAAAAAGGCTATTAGAAGTTTTTGTTATATATAATAAAAGGGTATGACAGTTGGGTTAAAATATTATATGAATTTAAATAAGAAATGCTTGTAATCTAAAGACTATCAGTATCAAGTAAGTTATGTATTTAATAGAATATCAATATCAAGCTTTCTGTTCAAGTTGCAAATTTACAGTTTAATTATATAATTATCATATTAAACGAATTCAAGTGCTTGATATCAACTTGAAGTATCATTCTACTACTACTGAGTAGTAACCCTACAATAGCTGACTTATAATACTGCAGACTGATAAGTCCACTTTCTCCACTTCTGGATTTGACAATAGACTATGAATAACACGTAAGACTTTAGACAAGTATTATAAAACTATGTGGAGAATTCTCGTACAAGAGATCAGAGTTACAAGTATATGTAGGCTCAACCGGATTGGGAAATTGGAGTGATAGTCCGGGAGAACCTCTAGGCGACGGCACAAGGTCGGGTCCACTTTCGAAAAAAGTAGTGACGGGCGGAGCACCAAGGCTGATAGGGGGCTTGTGTTGCGTACGGAAGAAAAATACGGTGCTCGAGTACTGTACTGTACTACTACTCGTAGTCTTAGTCTACACCTGAGTAGACTACCGGTCCGTCGTTGCTTCTCTTCCAAGGGCTCGCTTACTAATTTGCACCAAGACTTCCGCAGAGTTCTAACCACTTTTTGTTCTTACAAACCAGAACGCCGTACTCGCACTGCCGACCCGGCATACGATTCTACGGGTCTCTATCTCCGTAATTCGTAAGCGGGGCAGCAGCGGCTCACCGCCACCACCCCACCAACCGCAATACCTCTTCCCCAAACCCCCTTCACCACAGCTCATCATCTTGGGTAACCACCTCCGTTATGATACCTGCATCTTCATCAAAGAGAAACGGAAATTGTCCTGCGCCTCTACTATGGCTTCTCCAGCGCTAAACTGGTCCAGTCAATTATCCGTACTACCCTCTTCGGTGATACCATCTACTCTTATCGGTGACAAAATACTTCTACCGCAATCAGCACTTGAGCAACTTCTTGCCGCCGTTTCATCCGCTCCGTCGGGGTCGCACCAAACACCAGCCTTGACGGGCACTCAGAAGCCACATGTAGACGTTTCATGGGCTTCTGCAGCTCCCCACCAGAACCCGCAGCCACAGCTTCCGCACCCTCTCATGTTTAGACTCTTCAACCCGAAAAATAACCGATTTTCACACGCAGCCCCTCTGGAGTTCTCCGCAGAGGAAGGGAAGATTGGCATATCACCGCTATTGCGGGATGCACTGGGTATTGGGGAGGATGTGGGAATGAATGATGCAGTGGAGGGAGAAGTGGCGGAGGATGAAGGTGTTCGAATCACCGTAGTGTGGAAGGATTTACCGAAGGGCACTTATGTGCGGTTAAGGCCCTTAGAAGCGGGGTACGATGAGGAGGATTGGAAAGCTTTGCTGGAGAGATATTTGAGGGTCAACTTTACCACCTTGACAATTGGGGAGGTTTTGGCTATTGAAGGGAGAACTCTCGCGATTGGTGGGAATCGAAAGGCGGAATTTCGATTTTTGATTGACAGCATCAAGCCGGAGGAGGCGGTATGTATTGTCGATACGGGTGAATAAACCGCGCTGTTCAAGAAGTTTCCAAGGCGTTGAACTAACTATCTATATAGACCTAGAGGTCGATATCGAACCGTTATCCGAAGAACAAGCTAGAGAAACTTTGAAGCAGCGGCTAGCACGAAAGTCTGCGGGCAGCAGCGGTGGTACCTTGAAGATCGACCAACCAGCCAACGGTGAAGTCCTGCCGGGCGAATATCACTTCTACGAGCTACCAGAATGGGATCAAAAAGTGCCACTCGTAATAGAGCTTGGCGGGGTGGACGACGGTGATGAAGTAGATATATTCGTTACGACATCCAAACATCACCACAAGCCTCGATATGACGAGCATGTATGGGGGGATTCCGGATCCGAATATCCAAAAACAATACAAATCAACCCGACAAACATCGAGCTTGTTGACGCGGAAAAGATATTCATTGGCATACACGGATATGCCCCCCTAGACATAGATGAGGGCAGTGAGCAACAGGAGGAGGATAACTCCCCTCGCCCATATTCGCTCCGAATTACCCAAACCGAAATCCAAGACATGGAACTCCCCACCAACACCACTACCCCACCCGGCCCCGACTACAAAAAATGCAAAAACTGCACGCAATGGGTCCCAAACCGCACCTTCATCCTTCACGAAAACTTCTGCCTACGGAACAACCTTGTCTGCCCCCGCTGCCACCAAGTCTCCAAACGCGGCGCTCCAAACACCCACTGGCACTGCCAACAATGCACAGCGCATGGCAACAACGCCCCTCGCTCCTTACGAAAGCACGTATCAATCTACCACACCCCACGCCCCTGTCCCGCCTGCACCTCTTCCTCCTCCCCCTACATAGCCACGAACCTCCCGGACCTCGCCATACATCGAGCAACAACCTGTCCAGAAAAACTAATCCTCTGCCGCTTCTGCCACCTCCTCCTTCCCCAGGAATCCTCAAGCAACCATGCCGAGCTCCTCCTCCTAGGCCTTACCCACCACGAACTAACCTGCGGCGGCCGAACAACAAACTGCCACCTCTGCGACCGAATCGTAAGAATGCGAGATCTGGACACACACGTTCGCAACCACGACCTCCAAAGACTATCCACGCCCCCCCCAGTCATGTGCCGGAACGCCAACTGCTCTCGCACGGCTAAAGACCTCCGCCACCCCAACCCACTTGGCCTCTGTGGGAGCTGCTTCGGACCCTTGTATGCCCCTGGATACGATCCCGGGAATGTGGCGCTGGGTCGGAGGCTCGAAAGGAGGCTAATCAGACAGGCAATTACTGGCTGCGATAGGGCTTGGTGTCGGAATGGGATGTGCAAGACTGGGAGAGTTAATCTCGGGATCGCTGGCAACCCTGCGCAGGGTGTTAGCGTTGCTGACGCGATGCCGCTTGTTAAGAAGATTGTGCAAGACTTGAAGGGTGGTGGCGGGGAGTTGGGACTGTGCGTCGACGAGGGTACGCAGAAGCGTAGGCGCCTCGCCGAGAGGATCGCGGTGGAGAGTGTTCTGGAGAGGGATGGTGGGTGGGATGTCTACTGGGTTGTTGCTGCCGTGGAAGAGGTTGGTGGGTCTGAGGAGGATGAGGGTGCTATCAGAACTTGGCTGGAGAGGAACGCGGTTAGGCGGAGGGAGCGGTGATTCCTTTTCATCTGCACCCTGAGCGTGCCCAGCGTGGGCCCTTGTGGTATTGTTGGTAAATTTTTATATGCCAGTGTTGTATCTAGATGTAGACGAGTACAGCACCGATGCTTCCGATAATGAAAATGATTAATAATGAATACCCCATCACATGCTCAGTCATACATCACACGTTCTCACTCGAGCAGTTATGATTACGCTATTGTGACGAGAAATCAATTTGTATCATGCAATATTGACAAACCGACCAACCAACCTATCCCACCTATCCTACCAAACAGTGTAATATCGGCAAAAGTTAGGCTACAGAAGAAGCCATAGCATGATATAACGATGAAAGAAACAAAGTGGAGAAGAGATTGTGGGAGGGGGGAGAAAAAAGAGGAAAAAAGCCGCCGAACAGACAGACACAGACGAGCCATAATATAAGAGACCAGAGGGAAAAAAGGATGGAGAGAGAAAAATATGGAAAAAGGAAGAGGAAGGGGGGACACCAACTCCACTGCTGCGTAAACGTTGGCCCCGCAGTCAACATATCCTAACCTAACCCAGGGCATCTTATCCATCGTATCGCGTCGTATTGTATCGTGTGAAACATAAACCAAGTGCTAATCGACTAAACCCAACCAACGTAGAATCATCCATCCATCCAGCATGCATGCATCAATCCGTCAATCATAAACAGTAGCAAATACTACGACCTATCGACAATTTTCCCTTTTGCAGAGCGTACGTCTGCCGCGTTGCCCGCATAACCACCACCACTACTACTCGAGCTTCCATCTCTGCCCTTGCCCTTACCAACATCGCTCCCACCACCACCACCACCTCCTCCTCCTCCTTCCTCCATTCGTTGCCGCTGCGCCTCCTGCCCAGCAATCATCTGCTCGAGACTTCTGAAATTGAACATACTCTCCAGGCCGCCGCTTGCATTCTCCTCAGCGCCGTTCTCACCATCGGCGCCGCTACTACTCCCCGCCTGGGCAGTGGTATTAGGGGAATCGGCCCGCTCAACACTCTTGCCCTTGCCCTCAGCGGGCTTGTTCCCGTGTTGTTCCTCCTCCTGGAGAGAGAGTCTTATGGCCTCTAGGAGCATCATCTCCTCTAGGTCTACCATTCTGCTTCTTCGGGAGAGGTAGTCTGTGTTGCCGGTATTGTTACTGCTGGACGCAAGAGCGGAAGGTAGGGGTGGCTGCGATGGAGTGAGGAGCTCAGCCTGCGCACGCCGGATCAGGCGGCGGGAGGAAAATGTGCTCGGTGGGTTATTTCCGGGTGTGGCTGAGGAGGAAGCCGAGGCCGGAGATGGGGACATTAAGTACGCGGCAGTGTGCAGTGCAGTCGCCGCCGCGGCTCTTCGCGCAGCGTGGGAGCGGGCCGTTGCGAGCTTTTGTGACCAGTCGGGTCGGATGCGGTCCGTTGTCACAACTTCCGGGGACGTGACGGAGAAGGCGGGCCTCCTGCCAGGTGACTGTGGCGGGGGAGACGGGCACACGGGAGTCGTTGGCGGTGGCGTTGACGATGTAGAGTTTGATTCCGAGGATGTAGCGGCGGCATTCGCCACATACCGAATTCCCCTCCAGAATGGTGGCGGGGAGTAAATCACGCCGAATTCAGGCTCTACACAGAACGGACAAGTTGCCGGTTCGGAAATTAGCTGGTCAGGGGAGCTGTTACTCGGCGAAGGGTTATTAGGATCGTCGTGGTGCTCCGGCAAATGTGGATCCGGCCGCTTGATCTGCACGAAGCACTCGGAGCAGATCTCTTGGTCGCAGCAGCGTGTTTTGTTGAGATATGGTGGGTAGTAGAGGAAGCAGATGGGGCATTCGACCGCATTCTTGTATAAAACCGCCTCTATCGGCCGGCCGTCGACGGTTCTTGACGGGTCATTGGCTTCTAGTGGACCGGCGGTACTGGCGAACGCGGGGTTGTGCGGGGAGGATACTGGGATGGTTTTTGCACGCGAGCGGGAGCCAAGGTTGAGGGTTGGAGTGTTCGTCCCCGAACGGGTTAACGTCTCGGATGTGTACGAGTGCGATCGCGAACGGGTAGAAATTGGCGCGATTAGATTGTTTGCGGAGTCGGAGGGGCCGGGAGACCTTGGCGGGGTGGGAGATCGAAGAGGGTCGTCTATCGAGAGGCGGGCGGAGGGGGGAGGGATGGGAAGGCCTTTTACGGCGGCGACGAGTTGCACGTCTGTCCAATTCGAGTCGTGATCCGAGAGGCCCTTGAAAAATGGGGCTAATCTGCGCTCGATCTAGTTGTTGTCTGAGTTATGTGAGGTAGCTAGGCCGGGAGGGGAAAGATATACCATTAACTGTCGGACAATCTTGTCCCTAAAATCCTCAACACCAGTGTATACTCCCTGCGTAACAAGAAAGCCACCTAAAACAATTAGAATCCGATATCTCTCCAATGAAACAACATGTCGGTGATTTCGGAGGGCGCAGTTCTCGAGCTACCAAGCGAAAAAGGGAAAGGGGAAAGAAGAAAAAAAAACACCCACCATCAACACTCTCCTCCCTTAAGCTCCTCTCCCTCTCCTTTAGCCGTTCCCTCTCCCTCTCGGCCTTTCTCAACTCCCGGGCTTCCCGTTCTGCCTCCCGATCCCGCTCCCTCGTTTCCCTACCGCTCAACCCAAACAAACCATCTCCATGCCGTGACCTTCCACGCCCCGAGTATCCTCCACCCGCACCGCCACCATTATCTCCCTGGCCGCCCAGTATGGTGCTGGGCAGCCGCCCAGAACCAGAAGGACCTCCGCGGCGCGAGGACGAGGGTAAATTTGTAGAAGACTGATGCTGTGAAGTGTGGGGAGGGGTGAGTGAGCGTTCCTTCGTAGCAGCGTTCCCCATTGTTGTGTTGATGGTAGTGATGAGGGGAGAGGAGCGGGAGGAAGAGAAGGGGTGGGTGGGTCAGGAGAGTTTGGTCTATGGATCGATAGATGGGTGGATGGGAGTAGAGTGGATGGATGAGTTGTGTGGTCGTGCCTCTGTGGCGGTGAGGTTACCGTTGAGTTGGGGCTGATATGAAGAATGAAAGGTGGATGGAGGCTGATAGGGCTCCTCTTATAGCGGGTTGGTGGGGGATATTTGCGGACAAACCGTGTCGCCTGCGAAAACCGGTGCCAGCTTGAGCAAATTGACAACCTTGGAGAAGTGTCTCCCTCCCGGCGTCGTTGTTGTTGTTTATTCTTGATTCCAAAGTAAATCACTCTATCATAAGAATGAGATCATTACTGTCCAGGTCTTCCTCCTCCCTCCTTCCTTCCTCCTTCCCTCCTTCTTTCCCTCACTCCCGCAGTACCCACCATAAAATTTCAATATACACCCATCATACCTGTACAGTACTGTACAGCAATTTATGCTCCCGACCAACAATACAATTACCCAATCCAGAATCCTATCACAAAACCCTCTCCCCCGAAATGTGTACGACTATTTTTCAAATTCCCTCCGAAGGAAAACAAAAACAAAGAAAACTCCCTCGCCAAACTCCAACTCTACTTCCCCCTTTGGTCCCTCGTACCTACGCTCAGATATATGGCGCGGATCACGTGGTGTTATTGACGGTGGGGCAAACTTTGGGGTTAGCGTTGGTAGAGAAGACAAGCCGCATACGAGGGGAGAGCTCCCACTAAGAGTTTCCCTTTTCTCTTCGCTTCTTCCTCTTCATCACGCTCATCGGGTCGGAGTGATGTTTGGTCTGGCGATGAGGAGGAAGAGTAAGATGCAAGGTGAGACGAGTGATCAGATGTGAAAGGAGTGTTTTTAAAAGAAAGTGGGGGTCAAATTAGATGGTCTACCGTAAGGTATTCTCGAGAGGGACTGGGTTCCTCTGCCCACTACAGTAGTGTTCGAGGCGCAAGCTTTGGTGGGTGCGCCACAACGACTTCACCCACAACCCGGAAGGATTCAAGCACCATCACATACCGTAGAGGTAACCGGTCGACGGTTTCCCCTAAAGAAGTTCACGGTGCGGGGCAGTTGCAGCAAACCAAAACCCTTGCTCGATTATTCGCATCCCAGGGGATTTTGGTTCCTAGATGACAGCAAAGCCGTATTAGACGGATGCTGTGTACTGTACAAGAGCCTGTAATTCGCGCACATAGCTCGACAACTGGAAAAGACGCGACGGCAGGGCGCATCGCTCGGATTTCCACGAAGGCCAGTTTCCGCCGGGTGGTTAAGGGAAGGGGGACTTCATATGTTCTAGTTATGTGCGGCTCTGACCACAGTTCATAGGTCTCCTGTCGCCTAAGCGCAAGTTAAAGACATGCATCGGGAACTGCTCTGTGGACAAGATGAGAGCAGTGTGCGGTATTGAGTAGACATACCTCAACCCCCCGAGCCCTAAACTCACTCAACCCCGTACTGAACGACATGAGGGTATTGCGCCGACAAGGGACAGGAACAGATCACATCCCCGGAGAGCCGAATATCCTGAATTTGGCTTGGGCTGGCTTCCCCACCGCCAGGGCAAACCGACCCCTTAAGCAAGGAAGAAAAAAACAATCCAATCATACAGCAGATGTGGGCAAGGACATGGGTGTCTAGCGAGATGCCACACCCGAATATAACATCGGAAACGAGGAACACCTCTGGAGAAGAAAAAAAGGAAAAATATGCCCCACGCTCCCCTGGGGGACAGGTATTTCTATAGGGCTTGAAGTCCCACCTGCCTTTACTATTTTTGTTTTGATGAGGGGGTAGAGCAAGCATTGGGCACTTGGCCCTCACGCAGCAACAGACATGTATGATATCATATCATAGTATCATACCGCCCTTGCCACTCTAGAAAGCCCTAGGATGCACATACCCCGCTAGCTTTTTCCCAAAGCAGTTGAAAATCATGAATGGCGACACAAATAAAATTACCAGCCGAAGATCTACCGCCTTCAAAAACAAAAGCGAGGGAACACTCCTCTCCCCAGCTCTGGCCCGCGATAGTACAGCCACTGACCCCCCCGCGCACCAAGGAGCGGAATCCCGAGTGGTACTGGAAGACATATTCACGAACTACAGTACCCACCCACCACCTCCTCAATACCCAGAGGAACCCTCAATACCGTCTCCGCCGGAGTATTGTACTTTTACCGCCAATCCCTACAAGTACCACAAAGCTCCCACCTGCATTACGCCACCTGCCCGGCGGCTGGTGGCTTCCGGAGCACGCCAGATATTAGAAGCTCAGGCATGGCGGGAAGCCCTTGCCGAGCCAATCCCTAGAGCGCGTCGTCCTAGCCCTAGTATAGGAGATGCGGCCGCAGAGGCGGTGCTTGTGCAAGGTCGGTTCACACATTGTTTCCTTGGGCTTGGTTAGGTTGTGTAGTGGTGAGAGTGGCAATAGTGGTGGTGGTAGTGGTGATTACGTGGAGGTGCTGATGGTGTAACTTGTGTGCGGGTTGTGAATTCCCTGGGAGCTCTTCAGTCCGGGGGTCAGCCTATGGGGTTGTGGACAGAGGTTTTTTTTGGGGGGGCATAATATTCCGGTCTTATAATCCTATAGGCTTCCAGGAAATTGTGGTATTCCAGATTTGGTAGATTAGAGAGTATAGCAGAATGATTCATCTGAGGTTAGATTGTAGGTACTCATATTATCTCACTCGGCGACCGGCGAAGCAGGGCCTCCACCCCCGAGAAACCGGACCATGAGCAGGGACCTGTTTAGGCTTTCTCTGCTTTCCCGAGAGGCTATGGAACGTGCCACAGATACGGGATATATTTCCCCCTATACGGCGCGCTTTCATCATAAATATACTGTGCATACACGCATTACCATCCTACAATAGCCGCAAAGTAACCTAGCTCGCTCGCGCAGCGGGTTGGTTACCCACCTCCCCCCGACCCGGGAAGGTCAAACTTAACGCGCGGAACAAGACCACCATAGTCCAGAATATCATATCACAGAAATCTTCCGTCGCACACCCACAATTGAAATGATGTGCCATTACCTCCCTCACATTCCACGCCCATTCAATTTTTCGGACAACGTGATAGATATCATACCTCACCGTCGTCCCCAATCGCTCATCCACTCACTCACACACTCACTCACCGCCTTGGTATCAAGGGAACCCCGGGAACTCGATTCCCTTCCATTCGGCGGAGCAAGTTCATCACGAGCTCTAAACTCTACGGAGAGATACTCCAACGCCGAAGGGAAAAAAAAAAAAAAAAAGGCCCAAAATGGTTTCCAGGAATGGGCGGTATTCATCATTTCTCGCGGGGGCGAAACGAACCACATTGAGGAAAAGAAGGAAAGAAAGAGAGAGAGAGAGAGAGAGATGGAGGCATGGGGGGGGGAATACGTAGCATCAGCAAACATTATACAAACAGCCACTTTGAGCACACATGGCTACTCCTATCACAAGAAATCACTCGAGTCCCGTCCTGGCAATCAATCCGTATATACCACTATGATACTTCCCGCAGAGGGGACCGGGAAATCCAACGCAATCCCCCGAGAGAAAAATCCACGGGCCACGTACAAAACGGAAATAACGGGGTTTCCCGCTCCGCTATGTTAAGTACTGTACTGTACTGTGCTGCGGGGCCTTGTTCGTTCAGTACCGTGAATCGGGACCGAATTATAGATTCGCTCCCACTACTCTACTCACTGGGGTAGGTTACTCGTGCTGTACTCGCACTCCCCGCCGACCATACGCACGGGGGAGCGCCATACCGCGACGAGCGATTTCACGGGTACAGTAATCACAGAGCGGCCCTTAATAAAACCGTCACATATCATGCTCGTAAAGCACGATGGACGGATTCCAAAACCCGCCCTTTCCCTCCTACTTCAGGACACAGCACCACGACCCGACCTTGATAAATCATAGCACATCACTCGATTGAAGACGAAGTTGGTATGGTATCATATCATAGATCTATTATCATACAGAACAGTATGATATAATACATCGCTGATCAAAAGGGTGGAAAGAGGGTAATTTCTCGCTCTATACACGCGCCCGGAATCTTCCTACAGGTATTTACCCACGCCGATGAAGAAGGGGGGGGGGGGGCATCAACACGTCACGGCTCTCTCTCGCCATTTCCTGACCCCCGCTGCATAGAGTGGTGCAGTAAGTGGGTAGCGTAGCGTAGCAAGAGGATGTATAATATTTGTATCGTACTGTGCGGTGCCGTCCATCGCATTAGAATTCGTGATATGCAACGGAAGTTCGATGCGGAGGTCAAGTGGGAGAGAAAGAGAGAAAGAGAGAGAGAGAGCAGGGACCGAGGAATAGAGGGGGATATGGAATGGTATACGATTGTCGGGAGGTTGAAGAGCGTTGATCTTCTGTGCTCTTTTCTCGCTACACGCACGGGGAGCTACTCATACCCATACCCATACCCATTCAAGGTCTCCAATGTACAGTCCTGTACAGTGATATGGGTCCAGGTGCTTCCGGGACGGTCATAACTTACCCCGCCGCATAGAAACAGGGCATTACTCCCCACCCAAAAAGCCTCCGTAACAAATTAAAGAGAGAAGGAGTACCGGCATGATACCTAGCGCGCATGAGTTACAATGCATACACCATCCATAAAGGAAGGGAGAGAGGGAGGGAGAGACGCAGATAGAGAGAAAGGCACAGAACGGCAATACGCCGAAGAGCAGGATAGCCCGTTTTTTTGGGGTTTAAATCCATGCCACGATAGTTAACTAGACTATTCTGTACACCGGACGGATGGAGACTGCCTCCGGCACATCCAGTTTCCACATCAAACTCGCCCAACTCGTATAACAACCCAGCATACAAGTACGCAGCGGATCATAACTTGAGTGCGCATACTCACCAACCAGTAGAGCACGATACCAGCATTCATTCTTCAGCGCCCCGCGGGAGCGACCCAGACAAAGTCGAAGTCGGCATAGAAAGCCTGAGCCGGAAATGAAGTACCTACCGGTAGTTGTCTCTTACGAGCTGTGGTGTACCCTGCGTGCGCTACCGGTACCGGTTCTGACGATACCATGGCCTCCCCTATGGTACTATCAGAAATCCATCTCCCTCCCCTAAGCCGCCCCACTCCACCCCACCAGCCACTAGAAAAACACTCCACCAACGTGAATTATCAATCATAGCCATGACCACAAAGATTCAATGCCGCCCAAAGACGGAAGCAAAAGCAAAAAAAAGATGGAAATAAATAAAGCTAACCAACACCAGACACGCCCCTCCCGTCACCGCGTCATAACTCGTACCAACCAAGTTACCTCGGTGGCAGCGGTGGCCTGGTTACGCCATTCCCACTAACTACATTCTTCTCCATGATATACTTTTCCTTCTCTTCCCCGGCGCCATCCTCCTCCGGAGCAACGATCAGGTCGGGTATCTCATCCGTCGATATATCGCCCTCGTCCTCGTCGTGTTCCGTCCTCCTGTACGTCTGTTTCTCCTTTTCGCTTCCCCCATTCGTCAAAGTTGAGGGGGAGGCTCCCGCCATTTTTTCCTTCTCTCGGGCCTCGACTTCGGCTTCGCCCTCGCTGCCGGAGTCGTCAGATCCCAGGTCCTCGACCAGTTCGGCGTTCCTGTACCATTTTCTCCTTCGCGTGTATTTGCCCCAGCCGTCGACACCTCTACGGCCGTCTCGCCACTACCAAAGTCAATCATCACTGAAATGCAAATGTGGAGGTGGGAAAGCTACCTTATTATCGTAATACACCCAGCCCTCGCCAACCTCTCCACTCCCCCCCAATTTATCTTTAACCTCTTGTCCCTTGCTTTTCTTCCCATGGCCGTCGGCACCTTCCACCCGCCACTCCTCGCCATGGACCCAACGCCAACAAACACCGCTTCCAGCCGGTGTCTCCGGGAGCGCAAATTCCTCAGGCTGTGGACACGGTTGCAAGTGCTCATCCGTGAAAGGTGCACGTTCATAAGCGAACAAACTACTGGTCCAGCCCACGCCCAGCCAACGCCGTTGGTTCTCGTAAATTGCAAACGTGAACTTTACCCCCGGAGAAGCGCCAGCGGTCGAAGCAGTCAATGGAGTACTCTTTGACGGGTCGATTTGTAATGTTGGGACCCTCGAGAGCGGAGACGCTTTTAACAAATTGACTGAGGTTGACGATGCTGTGGCTGGGTTGACGTTGTGACTGTTTATGCTAGACTTGCGAGCTTTTCTTGGGGGTAGTGCAGGTGGCGGTGGAAGGGGGACTAGCGTAAGTCCAGTGATATACGAACTTGTCGCACGGATAAGTGAGCTTCGCCATAATATTGTGCGGCTAACCTTTGCCGGTCGCGAGTGCCATGAGAGTATCAATGTCCCCGTCGCGAGGACTACGCGTCGGGTAGTTACCACCTGAAATGGATAAACCGTGAAGAGCAACCATATCGGTGTAGTTAGGAGTATCCTTAAGAACAGTGTGGTAAGCACAGGCCGAGAAGTAGCTGTGGTGGCAGTAACAGTGGTAGACAGAAACCCCGTCAACGAGAAAAAAGGTTCGAAAAAGATGTTCAAACGAGTAGTCAATATAGACAATGTCTCAAGTATCTCATCCAGAGTAGTGGGCGTCGGTTCTATAAATTCCCGCAAAAAAAAAAAAAAATCAGCCCAAGTTCCGCCCCCCATATTGTGAGATGCGGGACAAACCATCCCGATACCTCCTCAAAAGCATTCCCAATATCAACAGCATCACGGCAACAACATTCCCACCCCAGCGCAACCCCACGTCACCGTACAATACAACCGCCCAGAATACCGCTACGACCAGAAAACTCTCCCAAGGGTCTTTCGTCGTCCAGGTGAGCAGACCAGCAACCCAATTTAATCCGGAAAGGTAGGGAAACGCCTGGCTCAGCGCGCGGGTAACCCGCGGCGGTGTGGCAGCGAGCAAAGGGCTTTTCTGGTGAACTTGAAAGGTAGAACGTGCAGCCGGGGAGCTCGATGGTGGGGCGAAGGAAGCGAAAGTTGGAGGATTGGGATCCCTGGTTGAGGGTGCTGGGTGCAGTTCGGTCAGGGGCTCGGCCCCGATTGACGGTTCATCAGACATGTAGAAAGTCCAAGGAGTATCTGATTTGGTGAACAATTATTGAGTTAGTTGAAGGAAGTAAAGGAACGATCGCGTGGCAAAAGGGGGAAGTGGAAGGAGAGAGACGGTTGAACTCCCCAGTCTTGGAGGGGGGGGGGGCATTTCTCCTACCAAGAGCTGCCATGCATCACCGTTTGATCTGGTTGTCGTCAGCGAGCGTCTCAGCCCGTGATTTGAGGGTTCGACTAGGCTAACCTGATTGACTGCGGAGATGAGGTCAAGTTTTCCAGTGGATCAACGATGAGTTAAGTGCTATTATATCACTCGAATACCCGGTAGAGGGGAATAGGGGAGATAGAGGGGTGGTGAAAATATAGAGGGCACATGGGCAGAATAAAATCCCTTCATCTCTTCCGTACCGGTATTCTCGCTCCATCGTATTCTTAAAAATAAAAAATAAAAAAGCACGTGAAAGTGTCAGGCAGATTCGGTCAACTCTACCCGATCCTCTTGGCACAGAGCTACCAACGTCACCTTGAGTCTTCAAGCTCACCACTATCGTACTCGTCACAGAACAAGTACTCGAGTCGACTACCGGTACCGGTATCAAGCGTTCGGTGGTTTTGTGCCCCGGCCATCTGAATGCCCCCTCCAGCTACAGCAACGTAGAAATACAACGCTACAACTATGGTAGATTGCATACACCCTCAATAATCATGTACTCTCACTTTACAAGCGTACCCCTTCATCCAGAAGGGGCCTAGGAGAGGTATAAATACTCAAGAAAATAGGCAAGAAATAAATAAAGGTCCCGCATTAAACACCCGAAAAGGCACCAAATAGTAGGACGGGCATAACGGTCATCTAAACTAAACCCTACTAAACAAACAAGTTTCAAAAGGAAAGGGAAAAGATATATAAAAGAAGTCAGGATGAAAGCAAAGAAAATCCCCGCCGACCAACCAACCAACCAACCGACCGACCCTAAAAAACGATGACCCGGTGAAAATGAGATCAAATTTCCCAAGATAAGAGCGCTGTATAATTGTAGAATCAAATCATTCCTCCAGGAGTGTCCATGCTTTGCGCCGGTACTCCAACCATCCCCTTTTGTATTTTTGGTACTGTTGGACCCCTGTTCATCGCCTGCTGCCGGGACCTTGACGCAAGTGCTCCTCCATCACTCGTTGACTTCCGGAGCTTTGCTCCCTTACTCTTCTTTGGCCGCGGCGGGTCATCGGTGAAGGATGAACGCTCAATTTCATCATCACTCCTGTGATGGGAGGACGATGGAGGCGGGATAGCCGGGACTTCCTCCGACGACTTGTTCTTTCCAAAGCCGCTAAAAATGCTTTGTGTAGTTGTCATCCGTCTGCTGCGAGGCTTGGTGGAACGAGGTGGGTCAGAGAGTGGCGGAGTGGGATCCTGTGGGGGGAGAGCACGGGTAGGGATGTTGGATGTTGCCGACAGAAGTTTTGGTTCACCAATCAGACTCTTGTCGACAGTCCTCTTCTTTGCCGGGGCAAATCCAGAGTTGGAATTCTGGATGTGTGCCAATGCAGATGAGACTGCCGTTGTTGGTGGGCCACTGCTGCCTGCCGTTGTTGGCGTTCGTTGAGCAATAGCAGGAGATTTATCCGATGATACAGCAGAGTAGGGAGTAGCCGCTGATGACGGCTGTGATTGTTTAGGAGGTGCCAATGCTGCCGCCGCAACAGAAGTATTGAGAGGTGGTAGAGGTGTAGAATCAAGCGTCCCCCTTCTCTGCCTCATGGTAGGGGCCGGCGAGGGGTTACTACTATTACGGGGCCTTCCAAAGTTATGTGATGGGGGTGGCGGAGAATTCCCAACGCTTCCATGTCCAGGTCTAAGAGCATCGTACTGTGGACGAGACTGAGGCGGATAGTGGGCGGGAGGGCCTCCGGGACGGCGGCGAGGTTCACGATCATACCCACGCTCATCCTCCCTGCCCCTAAATTTCTGACCTTGGTTTGGTGGCTGTCGCATGTCCTCCCTACGACTGTTCATACCGGGCATACTTGGCTGCTTCCTTGGCATCCTGCTATCTCCAGGAGTAGTTGGGGTTCCAGGTTGCGTTCCAGGGGCTGAATGAGGAAGCCCCCAGTTCTCATCCCTCCATCCCATCGGTACACCCCTCGGAGTGCTCTGCGCACTATTTATCTGCTCCTGAGACGGCCTAGGTCTCATAATGGGAGTGTGCATAGGTGAGTGCAAAGGGTGAGGAAGGCCGAGAGATCTTTCCCCAGGGGGATGGCGATTGTATGGTTGACCAGTAGCCAATGTCTGCTGTCCCTGGAACTGTCGGGGATGATGATGGGGTGGAGGATGATATGGTGGTTGATACATTGGGTGGTGATGTAGTGGAGGCATGTTGTGGGGACCTCTAACTGTATCCCTAAGCATTCTCTCTTCATCGTACATCATCCTTCCCCTGCCATCAGGACGCATCGGAGGCCCATTGACAGATTGTTCCATTCCCGGTGCCCTATGACCCTTTGCTGAATCGCCCTTTCCGAGAAATCCATTCGAGCTCTTTGACTTGAGAATATTAAAACCAGGCCCATTGTTCCTCAGAGGCCCCTCTTTAAAGTCTGGAGGAGGAAAAGGCATATCATGCTGACTATTAACCTTCTCCTGATTCCTCAGGTTCTGCTGGATAATCTGCCGTCTGAAAGCCAACTGCTGCTCCCAATCCTTATCTTGCTCATCCTCCTCAGAAGTTCTACTCCTCTCACGCTCATCCACTCTACTTGTTGCCAACTCCCTCTGTCTATTCCAATGGTCCTCCTCCTGCTTGTCATCACCAGACCTCAACCCCGGTATCGTCGGGGTCCTTCCAGGAGCCTTCTGAGGTATCAAGGGTGGTGCTGCGATTCCCTGGGAATCACCAATAGTGGATGGGCTGGGGGGACCATTCTCATCATCTCCATAATCTACACCATCCCAATCATCAAACTCCCATAGATTTCCGCCACTGCTACCAGATGCACCGCTGGGTCTGGCTGCACTGTTCCCGCTAGAAACCTTACCAGTGCCATTCACGCTTGCTTGCTTCCCGTTGTTAGCACCGTAGCGAGAATTCCTAGACATCCGAGTATACGTTGATCCAGCATACATGGAAGAGTGTCCAGAATCGGATCGAAGATGCTGCCGAACCAAAACACCAAGGCCTTGAGCAGGCGGAAGGGTTGGCGAATCGTCATCAGCGGTAAAGTTTACATCAGAGAACCTCGGAGACGTAGGAGAGATAGCTGGATTCCGAAGTGGTAGAGGGTCAGGGGAAACAGATTTATCTGATGCGCTCTCGGGATCCGATACAGGTGAAACTGGAGAAACTGGGGATGGCGATTCTGGTGATCGACCCGTTGGGAGGGTCAGCGGCTTGGCAAATTGAAGTGGTGCCATACCCCGTCCCCCGTCTTCATGGTTGTCACCCGGTTCATCATCGCCATAATCCGACTCGCTAGAGCTACTCTTCACGGACAAAAAAGCATGGGTCTCAGTTCTGTCCTCGACCCTGCTCAGCCTCCTACCCCCCCGACTACCCAAAGAAACCCTCTCCTCTTCACGTGGAGGGCTAACAGTTCTCTCCGAACCCCCCCGTCGTGATCGCTCTCCAGGCTGATTTCCCGGACCGAAGGGGGCCTGGCCAGGAAACTCTAGAGCATCTGCTGAAACTGGGGGACTGATAGGAGTCTGAGAAGCCGGGCCCAAGCCAAAGTTAAATTTTCCAAGATTCCGCGATACTCCAGGATCCTGCTTCCTCGGGCCAAATTCCTGCATTCTTTCTTCCTCCTCGTGAACGACCTCTTCAGGGGGGGATAAAGGCGAATCAGGACGTTTCCTGGGCCATTGGTTTTTATTATAAACCGATGTAGGAGAAGTGGATGATGTATACAGCTGTCCAGATTGAAAATTGCTGCCATTGGCATAATTGGACATTGGGGGGCTTGTTGTGCCCAATTTCCGGATAGAAGCAAGTCGTTCCAATCTTCCAACAGCCGAATTTTGATGATCCTGAAGCTGCTGATCCAAAGCCTGCTCGTACAGCGGCCTTCGAGGTTTACTCGAAGCCATGGGCCCCGATCCAACAGTCGGAAGTGAAGATGTGGACAAAGACGTAGGTATTGAAACGGAGTTAGTATTAGATGCGAGCGAAGTAGCTGCGGTGGACGACCGAGTGGCGGTTGTGGGCATGGAATTAGTAGAAGAACTGGTGTATCTGTTCTTGTCATAATCTCCGGAACCGTCCATGCTCGCCTCATGCTCCTGTGATCCCTTCCGCAACTTTGAAAATGCCAAATCTGTCACATCATGATCATACACGACCCGGCCGCTCATAGGAGAAGCAGACCTGCCCGGTAGATCCTCTGCAGAGCCCACCCTAGATACCCCGGTCGGTACACGATAAATCTTCTGTCTCCCCCCAAAGAGCACATTGCCTTCACCCCCTCTCGAGCGGTTCATTATCGACCCGTCCTGCTCCGAATTGGACGACTCTTCAGACTTTGTGGTCAGGCGATTCTGTTGGGTTGTGGTACCGATTGTGGACCCAGCAATCGACGAGGTCTCCGCAATATCCCCCAATGGAGTAAAAGTAGGAGGTGCATATGCAAGGCCATCTTTTCCCTCAACTACACCGCTCGCAACAAAATTCTCTCCATTGACCTTCCCGCCGGCTGCCGCGGCCGCAGCCGCAGCCGCAGCTGCCTGCTCCATCTGGAGAATGCTGAACCGCTGCGCGAGATTGGGCATCAATAAGGAAGTCCTGAAGTCATCGGTGGGAGGCAGCACATGCTGAAGATCCAGCTCCGGTTGTTTTGGCGGGGGTGACGAGTTCTTTCCCCATTTGAAACCCTTGTGATTGGAGGGCGGTGTCGGCACCGGGGCAATAGATTCATCCTCTTCCTTTGCCTTTCTGAAAGTACGCAAACGATGCATTATTGTAGTATCCAATTATTATTCAATTATTAAAGAGAAAAAAAACGTCGTGTAATGTACGATAGAAGGTAACGTGAAACCGAAAGATCAGGTGGGAGGGAAGCTAGAAACTGAGTCAGCCCAACGACGTGAAAAGGTCCACCCCTTTGACGAAGCGCCCTGGGAGCAAAATGGTGAACGGACCTTGCGCTAGAAAAGAGCCGTGAGCGAAATGTTCACACCAGGGTCAATACATTTGCGAGCGGAAGAAACCCCTTACCTCAAATACCCCCCAAGAACTAAAATATATTCCCCAAACAGTCTACCACGTCCGTCTATTCGAAAGCTACACCTGAAATTGAGGCAAAGAATCTAA